AGAAAATATGTTACAGTTTTATTTCATTTTTTCTTTTATCTCCGGTTTTTCTTCTTTCATTAATGTAGAGCTACTTACAATGCATCACCTGTTGATGGTAATCCTTTAAGATATACAACTGACAAACCAGTGAAGAGCAATTGAGTTATCCTGATGGAGATCTAATAAGATACAGACCAACGTTGGCCCCAAAACAACGTTTTCTTAACATTGAAAGAATTAGTAGCCAAACAATGGCACAATAATATCCGTTTTATTGGTCCAACAATAAGACAACAAGTTGGTCTGATTAGGTGCCAATGAACAAATTACCGGTGGCCCAACATTAATTGCTTACAATGGCCCAACTGTACAAAAATATTAAATGAATACATTGGTCCAACAGTGGTCCAATATTGTCTGTTGCATTGGCCCAACAATAAGCAAACAAGTTTGTTTGATTAAGGGCCGATAAGCAAATTAAGGTTGAACCAATGTTAAATGCATACGGTGGCCGAACATCAGGAACATTGTTGGCCCAAGAAAGGTCCAATAACATCCTACTATCTGGGAAAAAGGCTTCAAGTGTCCAGCGAGCCTTAGAATATAATTGAATGTGCAAGCCAAACAATGGACCTCAATCAGAGTAAATAACAGTTACGCTTTAAAAACTCAAAACAGTACATAATTTTGAGGTGTTGTATATGTATATTTAGTTTAAACTTTATTTCACTCAAATTAGACATCATATATACACAGTAGATAATACAAACAGGATTCGGAAACAAGTTGTAACAACTTATACTAATCCGTTTCCTTAAAAAAAAGGTAACCCAACAGCGATAATACAACAATAATGTAAGATTGGGCCAACAATGTGCTGCTATCTAGGTTTTCACACTTCACAATAATTACAAAGGATCAATTAGTTCACTGATAAGGACCCTCCCTATACCAGCTTAAAATATTTTTTTAGAAAATAATTGATAGTAAATAAAGTTGTAAAAAAACGAGCTTATCAATTTAATATTCAATACATGGTACATGACATTTCCCTCAGGAAAATGTTGAAACACAACAAAGAATCGTTGAACAGACATCAATGTAATTTACTTCCTTTGAGAAATAACATGTAAATAACAGGTTCAATTCGTGTATCTTGGCCTTTTAAAATTAAGTAATATATTGTAAATAATTTCTATTTCTTAGAATTAAGAATGAAGGAAAGATCACTCTAACTGCAGAAAAATACCATAGAATCAGAATTCTTTAGTGTGCAGTGTAGAGATGGTTCTTTGATACTTCTACAGTTCATTATGTCTCTAACATAACACTTGTACAAAACATCGTATGTATCTTAAGTGACCAACCAGAATTTCCTCCTGTCCATCCCTTAATGAACACTGTAAGTGTATGTTTCCGTCTTGTAAACATTTTCTTTTTTAATTAGGGATAAATACTTAAAACATGTTATTACTGATACTTTTTTTTAAAGATTCTGTCATAACAAAAATTGCCGTAAAAATAAGAATGTAATACAGATTTTAAGTGTTTGCACTATTTTGCTTACGAAGATAAGGAACGCGAGCTCTAAAGATAAAAATAGACAGAGATGGCAACGAGATCTAGAGTTTAACCTTTTAACATGAACGGTATCAAGAATACGATTCATTGGATTGCATTTCTTTACATGTTTATTAAAAGATGTGTGAATTAACTACACCAAGTAAAATTTAAAGATTTTGCAAAATATAGAAAATAATTTTTACAAGAGGCCCAGGGGCCACAGCGCTCACCTGAGCACATCGGCTAGGAAAAAGCAAATATCAGATCAGAACTGAAAGTTTACTGAGGTTGGGGGGTGGGGTTGAAGATTTTACCCCCCAGGGGATCATGATTTGAACAAACTAGAATCTACACTACCTGAGGATGATTCAATATAAATATTACTAATCATGGCTTTGACGTACTTGAAGAGAAAATTTTCAAAGGTTTCCTTATATATTCCTATGTAAAACTTTGATTGGCCATTTTTGCCCCATCCTACCCCAAGGGGTCATGATTTGTACAAACTTGAATCTATACTACCTGAGGATGATTCCTCGAGTTGCATCTTTCCTGGCCCAGTGGTTCTTGAGAAGAAGATTTTCCTATAAACTCATTTGTAAAACTTTGATCGGCCATTTTGGTCCCACTCTACCCCCGGGGGTCATGATTTGAACAAATTTAAATTTACACCACCTAAGGATGATTCCATATGTGAGTTTCATCTTCTTGAGAAGAAGATTTTTAAAGATTTTTCCTATATATTCCTATGTAAAACTTTGATCGGCCATTTTTGCCAAGATTTTTCCTATATACTCCTATGTAAACTTTGATCGTTCTTGAGAAGATTTTTCTAAAAATGCCATTAATTTTTCTCTCTCAGTCATAATTATCTCCCCTTGGAAAAGGATGTGGTCCTTGATTTGAACAAACTTGATTCCCCTTTACCCAAGAATACTTTGTAGCAAGTTTGGTTGAAATTGGTCCAGTGGTTCTTGAGAAGAAGATGAAAATGTGAAAAGTTTACAACAACGACGACAACGACGACAGACAAGCGGACAAATCAGAAAAGCTCACTTGATCCTTCGGCTCAGGTGAGCTAAAAATGCAGTTGTAAATCAAAGAGTGTTAGAGGACAGAATAACGGAAATTAAAGTTGGAAGTCAAAGTAATTATTTGAAATTTTCCGAGCGCAAATATCGCTTATATTTCTAGACAGTTATCATGTATTTTGTTTATCCTGCATCAAAATTATACATTTGAACGTCCAAAACAAGGTATTTTCGACAGATTTAGGCACATCTCTGCCGTGGAAACTAAGACGCCATGGCGTAAACATTGCAATATACATGACGTCCCAATTCGTTTAGAACGTCGGGATACATGCAGGAGACTAAAATTAAATTATAATGACTATCGGTTTCAGGAAATGCCAATTTAAATGTAACTAAAGTCATTAAAGCATCATCATACCAGGAACATGTACGCAGACAAGTACGCCTTGCTATAAAGATTGAGCGTACTTAGACCAAGTTATTTAAACATTCTTCAGGAACATGAGAGCATCGTATCATCCTACGTGATAAATTTTAATAAAAATGTTGCCAACTTTATGTGTGATATATATTTTTAACTGTCTACCTTCTTAACCTTCTAATGTTTTTCATTATCATTGACTGAATCAATGTTAAAAGGTTTGTTTTTAAAACTGTATACACCATTTAAAGCAAGTTCCTATAAAATAGGGTAAATGCAATGTGTTCCTTAACAATTGGACTGACAAACTTTGATATAATAATGCGGTTTTATTCAAACATATTCAGTTCTATGTATTTTAAAGACTTTTCTATTGAGAACGTAACTCGGTAGTAAAGGATGAAATTATTTTCAATGCAGCTAATAATGATGCACAAGGGAAAGAAAAACCATGAACTTGATTTTACGTTTGTTCCTTGTTATGTCTCAAGTTGTTCTATTGTTTAGCTATCGGTCCTTTTGTCAATAAACATTCAGTATCTAGTATCATTTCGTAAGTTTCGTAAGTTATATGGTCGATACAATGACATTGTCAGCAAATACAATTTTTTATTGATTTGAATGCTGACAGACTTTTCCATGCTAATTGTTAGTCCATTACTTATACACTGAATTGACGACGGATTTTCCCGTTATTCATCGATAATGACAAGGACAACACGGAGGGTGTGACCGGTCAGCAGGGGATGTTCATTCCTTCATAACAACTGATCCTACCTCGGATGTTTTGGAGGTCCGTGTTTGTACTGCTTCTATTTCGTATTGTTTTATGGATTTTGATCTAAAATACTGTTCGCCCGGAGAAAAATTTTTTGTGCCAGAATAAACGAATGATGGAATACAGGGTGTAAAAAGCATGAAAAACAGTGAAGTGGGGAGGAAGTACCATGTCGGAATTAAACGTGTAATGAGTCACACAGGCGTCAGATTAGACGGTTTTCACTGTATCCTTCGATGTGAGTATATAATAGGACTAAGACTAATAAGACTAAGACAAAGACTAAGACAATATCCTTAGATTCTTTGTTGTCTGACGTTAAAAGTTCTGTAGAATCATTCTTATTGGTGGGGGCCAATGTTCGTGGGTAAGCAAATGTTTCCCTGTTCGTCAGGAAGTAATTTCGTTGGTTACGCGTAAATACAATGCTTCATTGAATCAATGTTAACAAAATTAACCTTTGTGGGGATATAAATTCGTGGGTAAGGTTGACCCACGAAAAATATGAACAATGGTTCTCCACCAAAAACGATGATACTACAGTATGAAATTGTAAAATCTTTACTAATTATTTAATTGACTGAAACAATTCACAAGCATTATTCTCATTTAAACATTGCACTTAATACAAAAATAACCTTTACAAAACGTATACGGAGACCTATTTAGGACCTATCAAGAGGTATTTTTTGAATTCAAAATAAGAAAGAATTATAACAATTTTGTGTGAGTTTGAAATGTTATAGAAAAACGTAGCCAAGGGTAAGCCAAGAGTATTTAATCTCTTAAAATAAAAATGCATCACATTGAATTTAACCTTTGAATCATACATTTATTTTGATGAATGCAAAATAAAATAATAATTAAAAGATCTGTTTTCTTAATGATGTGAAAAACGTAGAATGTCTGCAGTTAAAGATGTTAAAAAACGCTATGGAAATTATATTTAAAACATTCTGTACGTGTGAATCAAATGATTACAATTATAGGAAAAAAATATACATTTTTATCTCTACAGTAACTATTAACATTTTTTTATACAACACAAAAATATTCTGTGTCCTCTCTCTCAAACATTTGCCCCACAAAGGAAATAAAAACATGTGCGAAAATGCATAACTTTAAAATCGATACGTTTTGCACACCATAAATATGAAGACACGCCATTTTGTTGTATATAAAGTTGGGGTCATAGAAAATCTGGGTTACTGTCGTGAACATTATGTCCGAGAAAACAACAAAGCAGAGGGTCGCAGTGATCGGGGCGGGCCTTGGTGGACTATGTTCTCAGAAGGTAATTACGATTAAATGTGATGTTATTAAAATTTCATATGTCGAAATTATTTTAATGATTTTATATGCAAAGTTGCAAGAGTCTAAAATTAGATTTGTAGTCTTACACGGGTGACTTGCTTTTTATCAGGGTATCAAAAGTACAAAATTTAATAAAACATGTTCTGAATGCATTCTTTACTTAGTAATACCCAATTATGCCAATTTGCACACTCTGTTAAATATTGCCGATATTCATAGTTAACTGAAAATTAAATGATGGTTATCAAAATAAATATGATATATTCAAAAAGAGTTGGGCGATTTCGATGTATTGTACAATGATCGATTGCTCATGATTTCAGGTCAAATAGCTGCCAAAGGCCCAAGTCATTTAAAATGTGAAGTAGAAACTCTTCATTCTAGTGTGGCTTTATAGACGGAAAATTGTAGACTTTAAATTTTGTATGAGATTACAAAAACGGAGCTTCTTGGCAGGCTTAAAATCACTCACTGCTTTTGTTGACTCGGACTATGTGAAGCGTATATAAGGTCTAAATAAAAAAAAAGCTTTTCAAAAAACAATTATATTTCATATATATGCATGAAAATGACTTAAAAATCGTGCTGAATATGAGATGCTGATAAAGTATCATTCATACCATCAGTTAAGAGTTTAATGATATGCAGAAGTGTATCCTTGATATCGTATCTGATCCGGTGTGAAAAAGGGCACTGCAGATTATTAGTTACACAGTCAGTCAGTGACCTAATACGGAGTCATGCAGGGTGTGAAATGGAAATCCGTATTCGCCGAGTCCAAATACGGATTTCCATTTCACACCCTGTATGACTCCGTACTAGGTCACTAACTGAATGTGTTACGAATTTATCCCGCTGAAGACCTTCAGAAATATCAAGAAAATCTATGCGCATAGTATGAAAATATCAAGTTTTAATCCAATAACAATCAACCTAAATATTGTAATAAGAAATTTAAGTAAACTACCTACGCAAGTTTTACCGTTTCTTAGACGCCATTCCTATTTACAATAACAACGCTTCGAACGGAATTGCGTGTCCAATTTTCATATTACTCCTTGACGGCGACGTAATACGAAAAATTTCAGGGCGTCATGTGATTAGCTTTTATCCAATCAATAATCTACAAATTTGTCTGAAGCGGGATAAATAATCTTACTTTTAAAATTAGTGCGTGCCGAAACATAACTATGTTTAACTACTAGCATGTTAAACATTTTAAAACATTATCATTTGCAGGACACATTTCTATAATAATGGTACATTATTTTTTTCTTAGTATTATTTTAAACTTTACATTTTTCAATATATATATATGAATATTCAGATTATGTTTTTTCAGTTGAAGCCATTTAAAGAAATGTATGAAATTTGATGATAAGAAACGGCATTTATGTGTAATCAACATTTAATAAAAGAAGTCCAGAGTAGAATAAACATGGGCTTCTAAAAATGAAAGAGGTGGATTAAGCTCACACCAACAGTCTATTGGACGGATCCGCCATGTGATTCTTGTCATCATCAGAAATAACAGAAATCACAATACATTATTTTGTGTGTACATAATGCCTTAACAATTAGTGTAAAAAAAACCTCCATTAGCAATCGACTTGATATTAAATTGTATTCGCCGACAAAGTCGTTGTATTGTCCAAATTTCTCGCGAATTTCTCATAAAAATATGCTGATATCCATGTGTCTTCAACTTGTTGTTCAATAGACTGTCGAGATATTGTTCACACGTAGAGAATGTTTTTTCGTATCTGATATAACATTGGTAAAAGATAAACGCCATCGGGTGATTAACGTAAATTGATACACTTGTAAGGAAAGTTAACGATTGGAAGTTAGAATTTTCAACATTACTAGTAGACGTGGTTACTAAAATAATAAATCGTCCATACGCCTATAGAGTACGACATGTCTTCTTTTCTTCAAACCTTTCACACTCCTACTATAAAAAGATCGATTTGGACTCTACTGTGAATGTGAAAATTAAATGTTTTTAAAAGGTTATAAAAGTGGCTTAAATATGATTTGAGTAGATATATATGATAAATCATTAATTAGAATACGGCATAAAGTAGGACCGCTCCGGAGATTTGACGCCATGAATTTGGTGCATTTCTAAGTCTTATGCAGAAAAGGTTCAAGCTGATTAATATCCTTATTTTCGTTTTATATCAAAATCTGTTTGGTCAAAGCATGCAATGTATGCTTTCTGAAAAAAAAATCACTGAAGATTGGTGTCTTCTGCGATTTGAAAAAAAAAATACGGGAAAATTACGCACAAATTTATGATGTCACACTAAGCACCTATGAAGTCATGTAAAACAATTTGAATGATTTTACTGCATGGAATTACAATAATTCAGAAAGGATGAATATCAGTTTCTTACATCGCTTCCAAATTATAGAAAAATACAGAACCAGATTTGAATTGAATCCGTACCTTTTTTGATGATGTAAAAGCCAATCTACGTTATATCGATCAATCTCTTTTTTCAGAATTTGATATCCAGATAAGATTTCTGACTATAGAAAATTTCTATATCTTTCAGACTCACATCTACGAAATTCGAAACATTCCTTGATGAATGAAGCACTGGATCGAAATTTAACCGCCCTTAAACTGTATTTTCAAACCAATCTTACCCCATCGATTATTTTTAAAGGGTGAAGAAAATGAGAGAATAAATTATCAGCTACCCAAAAATCTAGATATTTTTCTTTGTAGCACCTTTGTGAAAAGTTTAACATTTTTGAACCAGTGGCATTTGAACGGAATTTTTGGCCTTGTGGATTATGGAACTATACCGACCAAACAAGCAAAGACGATTTCGGATTTCCCATTCATTCTGCTATATACAACAATCTTAGGTACGTCAAAGTTCACTTTTGTGTCAAAAAGAAAAAGAAATATGTTTATAGTTCGTCAGCTGAACTCTATTTTTATGAGCGATCGACAGAGTACACTTCTTTGATTTCTAGACGTTGTGGTTAATACCCTGTTTATGGTTCTGTTTTTTTTTAAACACGATTACTCTATGCTATCTTCAACTTGCTCATTTACGGTACATCTGCCTCCAATATCATTTCAACACAAAGCCATTTACCATTCATTGTTTTTGTATAAAAAATCTTCGTTTCAGCATGGTACCCTAAAAAATTAAGAATGTCCCTTCAGAAAAGTGATTTGTTAACGCTGATCACATAGTTAATCTAAAGTTTGTTTATTTCTTTATAAATACACATGTTGCTTATATTGTTAATTACATGCACTATCTATATAAAGATATCATTCAACTATATTTACTAAAATGATATCTTTATATGCAATCTACTTATCAACAGATCCAATCTCCCAAAAGAATTACAGGAGTTTCCAGATTTCCCCTATCCTAAGGAATGGACATCATCTTATATCACAAGACAACAGTGCCATCAATACCTCAACATGTTTACGGATCACCACAAACTGAGACCATACATACGAGTAATCATGGCCAATTTCTCCTATTCGGACCATACATACGTTCTCTTCTTTATGACTGTACATAAGGGTAATCATGATTGATATCTCGTCTTTAAGACAACACAAGAATGGTAATCATGGCATATTTTGTCTTTTAACCCAACATACGGGTAACATTTCAATCATCTCGTCCGTTTTGCTTCTTATAATGATGTGTGCTGTGAAGGGCAAAGAATGCGTGATTCATTTGTAAAAAAAAATATGTTCTAACTGTATCAAACGACATGCAATGCACACAAGATTTTCTTTCAAGAAAATATATTTTATTTATGTGAAACATTAAAAGATCATGCAGCGCTATTTTTAATCAATATCTTTTTTTAAAATTGACAAAAGTTGTTTATAAATATCAAAACCTGTGGAATGAAATATTTTAAGTACAAAACAGAAATTTAAAAATAATTTCCCTTTCGTGCTTCTTTCATGCTTATTAGTTTTCCTTTGAAGACACGCACCTTCGTTCGAGATGTAAGGCCATTAAAAGAAGACCAGGAGAACAGCCTTGTTAAATGGATGGTCACATTTTCTCCGGTGAAAAAGTTATCTGAGATCAAAACGGAAGTGTTCGATTCTGTTCTTGTATGTAATGGGTATGAACATAAGTGTTCCTCTTCTTAATTTTAATTGCAAACTGACATGTTTCAAAACATGAGCATATTTGATTGAAGTTTACATGTTTTGTTTCTTCTTCATTGGTTTTTGAAGACTTCTTTTAATGTGTTGATAAATGAAAGATAATTGATTAGACACGAAGAACAACAGAATATTGTAAATCAAGATATCTAAAGGCTGAAAGAGATAGTTTTAATTTTTTTTGTAAGTTGAACACGGGTTTTTGTTCGTTATTTTCCAATCATGACATTGAGAATATGGAGGGTGTGACCGGTTGGTAGAGAATGTTCAGTCCTCTATTGCACCTGGTCCCACTTCTGATATTTTTGGAAGTCTGTGTTAACTCCGCTCCTATTTTACATGTATGATGTATAATGAACTTTTGAGATTTTTTTGGATTTTATACTGTTTTTTTACCTTCACGTATATCATTTGTAAATTCTTCACAGTCATCACAGTGAACCGTACACTCCGGATATCCCTGGAATGGAATTGTTTGAGGGAAGAATGATTCACAGTAAAGAGTTTAGACACGAGGAACATTTTGATGGACTTCGTGTTGCAGTTCTAGGATGTAGTTATTCAGGAGAAGACATTTCAATGCATGTAGCAAAGTTTGCAAAAAAAGGTATTAAGCCTAGACAGTAAATTAAGTCTTTTCTTATTGCTAACTATATAATTTTTATCCTTTATTGAATGTTTAAATAAAATGAATATATGAACATTGGTAACAAAGTACGTGGGGTGTTCGTAAAGTTCGTGGACGATGTCAATCTTTGTTATATTACTCATTAGAGATTTTGTAACAGAACAATATAATTTGCAATAATATTTCTTTTGTTGATGTGTGAAGTTTCATTCCCTTCGATTTAACAGAAATCATTCAATTTCATTTTAAAATCAACTTGTTCTATACCCGCGGAACACAATTAACGGGAATTGTACGTCAAAACATAGCGTCGAGAGTTCAAAAAAATATTATCTCTATACATTTCACATAGTTTTATCCAACATCCACTCATTAAAAATCTTTTTCTAATACTTGACATTTATTTTTTTAACAATTGTTCTCGATGTATAATTTCCTTTGTTATGATTTCAATTTCTTTTATTACTTATAAAAGAAACTCTGAAGCGCATTTGTCTTTCCTTAACTTTCGAACTTTTTAAAGTTAAACTGTTTATTCACATATTTTCCTCATTAGATATAGAGTCTCTGTCACTCAAATACTGCCTGTACTATTTGTCCACAGATGCACAACTATCTTGTGGCATGATTTCTATTCATCCAACATATTTTATGAGTTTTTTTTTTAGGATTTTTCGTGAGTAAAACACAAAAGTTCATTGTTATCAGCAGCTCCGTGACGTTCTGAAACGTAATCGTTTTAGTCGATTTTAATGAGGACTGCCTTCCTTCCCAAGTTGTTTTTTTTTCAACGAAGCAAAATATTAAGCCGTAATTTGTAGTAGAAATCGACGTAACAATTCTTAATTTGAATTTCTAGGATTTCTAGGATGTTTTTCATTTTTGCTTCATTTTACAGAGAATATGCTTACAGCCATTTGGTGTAATGTTTGTAAAATTCTAAATTTTGACCTGCTCCGCAACCCGAGTTTTGCATTTTATAAATCTAGAAAAGTTTTGAATAAATCCTTATATATATTTAAAAAAGTAATACGAATCATTTCGAACAACCCTCGTAATTTTACGTATACCGATATACATTTGGGGAAATAAATGTTCTAGGAAAAAGTCATCATAATTCTTGTTCGTTGACAAACACATATTCTCTTATATAGAGCGGTAAGTGTGATTTTTAATTTGGAGGGGGGGGGGGGAGAAGTTAAATTAATTTAAACTTACATCTAATATTACAAAATACGATTCACTTTGAGTTTTATACCGTGAAATCACTTATTTTCGGGGGGGGGGGTGTTGTTGTTACTTTTCGTTGTTTTCAAGGCATGAAGAGACCATTGAATTCATGATTACCTCGAAATGTAAAATTATCAATACTCAGTACTTCTATACAATATCGGAACCAAATTCCCATAAGCATGATTTCCATTTTTCTTCGTTCTTAAACCTCGAAAATTGGACCTCTCTTAAATATTTGATATTACAGTATATTTTCAATTTAGTTTATATTTACTTAAAGGTTTTTGCATGCCACAGACGAGATCCAAAAGACTTCAGGCCGTCTTTCAAAAAAGAAATAGAACAAAGACCTCCTTTTGTCCATATGACGAAAGATTTCGTGGTGTTTCCCGATGGCTCTTCAGAAAAAGTTGACGCAGTCATATTCTGTACCGGATATCGTTATTCTTTTCCATTCTTAAAAGATGACATCATAGCGATCCAAGATCAACACGTTCAGCTAATTTACAAACATATGTTTCATATAGAATATCTAAACCTTATTTTCATTCGAATAGCCCGGCAGTTTTTATACTTTCCTATGTACCATGAAATGGCAAAACTTGCAGTTTTGGCGTTGGCAGGAAAAGTGAAATTTCCGTCCAAAGATGTAATGAGGGCAGAGAGTGAAGCGGATTTCCAATCTCGTTTGAAGGAATGCAATCCACCGTCTCATGCCCATTTCTTTGGCGGTACTGGTCGACGATTTCGATACATTGAAGAACTCGCAGAATTAGGAGGTTTTGATCCGCTTCCGCCAGTACTCGAAATGATTTTTACAGACGTCGCAGATGAAAGACACATGAATCTTCCACATTGTACCGAGATTAGTTATCGGGTAACTGGGCCTAATTCGTACGTTTGCTTAAACCCGGAGAAGATTAAATCAAGGAAATCAAAAGCCGAAAACGTTTTTAAAGATGGATGAATCAATCATTATTTTCATGAATATTATTATTCATTATTCATCTTCTTTCATCTTGTTTAGAATTTTTTTTAAATTTAAATATCTGTACCATCTCAATATTTTCAACTTGTTAAACTACACTGCTTGATTTCAGAGAAGACATTAAATTTCTTTGTAATATGTATTTTCGTTCTTCTCATCTTTTTGCATGGCGCTGTCACAGACATAATTAACATTATAATGATAGTTTTTTTTAATTATATTGATAGGTAAAGGTACCATTTAGCTCCAAAGTAAAATAAGAGGTACTCATATTTTAAAATAAAAGAAAAATAGCGTTTAGTTTGTTTTCTTAGTTATATACTAGATGAAATCCCTCGCAATCGCTGGGAATTTCCAGTAACGACAGAGAGTATATTGTAGTTTATATTGTAGTTTCTATTGACAGTCTACATGCAGGTAGAAGGAAAAAATACTTCAAATATCCAAATTCCCCCATGAAATAGATGCACCTCTCAAACACATCCTGTTTTTTAAAGAATAAGAAAAATAACAATTTCATTAATTCATTTCCGTTCCGTGATGAAGAAAAGAAGCACAAATATGCAAATTTTACTGATACATTGTACATTTTTTTTTGTTAGAGGGGGGGGGGGGAGAGGGTATAATTCACAGATGTTTGGGACTTGGTTTAAAAATATGTATGTACCCTATTGAGATGTCCAAATAAATGTACTTGACATTTTTTTTGACAGATCAATAAGACCCATACTTGTACATATTTATAAACCAAGACCCAAATACTTGTGTAGAAATTAGTTTTTAACGCCCTTTGAAAATTTTAGTATTTGATGCAAAGAATTTAGAATAAAAAGAAATGTATTAATTTTTAATGTATACTGAAAGGAAAAAAAAACGCATAATAAATTTTTGAATAAAATTAAAACTATTATTTCCAATATGTTTTCCAGTATTGTTATCAAACAATTTAATCCAACTTTTAACAACAAGTAACCGAAATCTTTTGTGACTTTGACTGATAATTCCTGAGTTATTGGGATTGATATGTCGATACCCCCCAAGATTAAAATTAAAATTCTCATCATTTCCCTTGCGCATCAGTAACAGCCTTTATTTTCTTGTGCATTGAGTTCACCAGAGCATTTATCTTTCTCACAGGATTATCATTCAAGCCTTCCGACGATAGTCTTAATTGTTGAGAGTAGCTGTTTTATTCCAAAGCCAACAAATCCCTCCGCTCAATGAATACCACGAATTTTCGATTTAGTATAGAATTTACAGAATCTAGCTGATTTGGTACACGTGAATGTTTTTAAGAAAGTCTCGACAAACACTTGCTACATTTTCTCAGCGTGAACATGCTAAAAGCATTACGCATATGACGCGTACGTGCGCCCGTGAGAGTAAAATCGTCGTAAATTTAACAAGCTCCCGCACCAAATTAGAACAGAGAGTTTTTGTCAGTATTAGGATGAAAATATGAGTATGATTGTCTGCTGTAAAAATATCGCTTTCAGTGATAATGACAATAACCGAGGTAGCATGATGAAAAGCATGATGTGACGCTGTTACGCGCCAACCTCACCGTCATGGTTCGTTGGAAACCTTTTAAGTTACTCTCTGATAACCGAAAAAAAAATTTTGATCGAAAATTTAAAAACAAACTGCACAACAACATGTTGTTGCCTTTTTATGCACTTATGGAACTCAATTACTAGACACAATGTAACTTCAGTTAGCCATACCATGATTGCAAGAAATTTATACTGACTGAAAATATCGGAATACGATGTCTGTCATCTCTTGGCACTACAAATTGTGATCATAAAATTGTCGTCATCAACATGCACGTGTATTTGGCGTTTTATCACTTCCCCAACATGATACCATACATTTCATGGTTGAGTAATTT